TGTGAGATGAGGAGATGAATAACCTACCTCAGGGGGGCCGTGGGGAGCCAAGGATGATACACCCAGAGCCGGCACACAGTGAGCATGCAAAAATGTTAGCAGCGACCACACTTCTCCTTCAGCCATGCCTTCGCCTTTTAACGTAATCACCTCTTTAAAGCTCTGTCTAAATACAGTCATATTCTGAGGTTACTGGGGGTTAGGACTTCAATGTGTGAGTTTTTTTGTCGGGGGGGGGGACATAATTCAGTCCTTAAGACTAAGTGAAATAAACCAGAAACAAAAAGGCAAACATTGTATGCTTCTTCTCATAGGAGGTATCTAGAAGAAGCAAATTCATAGAGACAGAAAGTAGATTAGAGATTCCAGGGGCTGGGGCGGGGGGAGGAGAATGGGGAGTTTTTGTTTAATGGATGTGGGGTTTCTGTTTGAGATCATGACAAAGTTCTAGAGCTCGGTAATGACAGTGGTGGCACAGCATTGCGGATGTTCCTAATGCCACTGAATTGCATACTTAGAAATGGTTAAAGCGGTCCATTGCATGTTATGTACATTTTATTACACATACACAAGACCAGCAAAAATGAGGGGGGAAAAAAAAGAATTTTTCAGCCCAGGATTGTATGAAATGCTGGATTCAGAGACACATTGTTCTTGTTTTGTCTGGGGCCAAGGCTGCTCCGTCCAGGCCCAGGGGCGAGGGAGGTGTGGGTGTGGGGAGCCCCTCTGGAAGGCTGGGCATGTTTAGGAGTCTGGGGTTTCCCGAGACCTGAGGATGGGAGTGTCATCCAGCTGGAGACCAGGCCCTGCCACTTGCACAGTAAGTGAGGTGATGAGGGCCGTGCTAGGCGGTGCCCGGGTTTTGCTTACTCTGCAAAGAGCAACACTTGGAGACCTTAGACCAGGATTTCACCTGGGCCCTGCCCCTTGCAGCTGACTGGCCAGCAGCTGTCCTGACCTTTGAGCCTCCTTTTCTTCATCTGTGTGATGGGAGCAAAAAGACTGCGGGCTTGGAGGACCTCAGATCAGGCACACGGCAGAATTAGCCTCGTGCCCAGTGCATAGTAGGTGTTTAACAGATGGCAGTGGATTTTACTACTGGCGATCACAGGTGCCTCTCCTCCTCAGGCCTTGAGTTTCTTTCATCTTTCCACAGATATTTTAGTGTGCACCTGCTGTGTGCTAGGCCTAGTGTGATGAACAAGACGTGTTCCCTGCCTCACAACACTTGTTTTCTAGACGGAGAAACAGATTACAGACAAGAAAACCCACACATCTATAATTACAAATTGTAATTAGGTCTGTGCAGGGAGAGATGCATGTGCATATGTGCATGTGTACAGGTGTGTGTGCAGCTTAATGGAGTCAGGGAGGGCTGCTCTGGGGTGGTGACGTCTAAGCCAAAGCCAAAAGTATGGGGAGGACCCAACTATGTTCACAGCGGGGCTAAGGGAATCTTAGGCAGAGGGAACCGTGTGTGCAGAGGCCCTGAGGAGGAACAGAGCTAGAACCTTATGTGTGGCTTCGGGTCCTGGACAGGGAGGATGGGTACAGAATGGCAGTGGAGAGGAGAGCGGGGGCCGGGCCTTGCAGGGAGCTCCCTGCCCGGGCCGGCTGCTGTCTGGCGCTTCAGCCCCTCATGTCCTGGGGTGGGGGAGGTGGGACTCCAAGGACGTGCCCTGCTGTTGGCGTTGTGCCCAGAGACTTTTGAAGTTCAGGAAATACTGGTGGGGACTGACGAATGCCAGGCATCGCCCCGGTCTGGGCCTGGTAACACTCACCTCCCGGCTGCACCCCCAGTTCTCTGCCTCACAGACCCTGGGGCCAGACTGCTAGCAGCACTGGCTTTGGGCAAATTGTTGCCCTTTCTTACCTTAGAGTCTTCGTCTGTGAAATGGGGATAATAACAGTATGTACCCCATATGTTTTTTATTAGGGTCCACTGAGTCCAAGGGAAGAGCTCAGCACAGGAACGGTCACATAGCTTCCCTCCAAAAGCTTTCTGTCACAGTTGTCACTGTGAATGTCTCTATGGAAATTAGTGTTTATGGGAGAGGCAGCCGAGAGGGCAGAGAAGGCAGGAGCATGTGTCTGTCTGGAGCCAGACTGCTGGGTTTGCACTCTGGCTCCTCTGTGGGACAGCTTATTAACTTCTCTGTGCCTCCGTCTCCTCACCCACAAAATGGGATGCTCAGGGTTGTTGTGAGAATTGGAGAGTTAATTTAGGCAAAGTGTGAAGAACCTGGTCTACAGCTGTGCAGGTTCTGCTATTTCTATTGTTACTTGGATTCTCAGAGCTGGAAGGCTGAGCAGTGGGCCTGCCCACCCCCAGGGTGTAGGTGGGATGTTGGAGGTACACAGGGAGGAGCCTCAGCTGGGGCTGACCTCCTGGGCCTGAGCCCTGCATCCTGTGCTGCGGCCTGGGGATGGCCCGGATGGCGGGGCTGGCACCAAGAGCCCCTGCAGACACCCTGGAGTGTCAGGCTCCCCTTTGCAGAGGGAGGGTCTTGCTTGGGTCTCCACGGGACAGTGGGAGTGGTCCCTGCTGACACCCGGAGTGTGGGGCCGTAAGGCACAGGCCAGAGTGGCAGGGGGCCCTGGCTCTCCCTGGCATATTCCAGGTTCCTGAGAGGGTGGCCGGGGGCCAGGGTGCCGGAGGGAAGGAGAGAGCCTTTTAAGGAAACATTTCTCTGCTTTAAAAAAAAAAAAAAAAAAAAAAAAAAGAGGGTGAAAGAGACAGAGACAAGAAACATGGAAACACACAACAAAGTTAGTGGGCTGGCCAGCAGGCTGGCTGGAATGCACAGCTGTGGGCGGGGTGGAGGAGGCTGCTGGGGGCGCCCAGGCACCAGGCCCTCTGCCTGGGGGTCCGCTGCTGCCCCTCAGATCTAAGTCCTCGGGGAGGGACTCTGCCTTAGGGGCTCTCTCTGCCTCTGGGGTCCCTTCTTTCCACTGCCTTAGGGTGGTGCTGGGAGAGAGTCTCTCCCACTTGCCTCTGAGGACTTCTGTCCATTCTTCGGCTGCCTCAAAATGTATTTGTAACCCCCTCACTTCCCTAACCCCCGTCCCCAATGGAGAGTGGAGACCCTCCTCATGTAATGAAGAAAGAACTGGAACAGAGCACTGTCTGTGGGTGACAGCAGGAACGAGGAGACCCTGGGGGCCTGGTCTTATCGGGTGAAGCCTACAAACTCCAAGGGGGGCTTGGGGCTGTGGGGCGGGAGGAGAAAGTGGGGAGACCAGTGCTAGATGCAAGATTCCTGGCCAGAAAGTGCCTGGCAGGGAGGGCAGTGCCACGCCCCCCCCCCGCCCCACCGGCTGAGACCCTTTCTGGTGGGCAAGGCAGGCAGGGAGCCCTGCAGGCCACGGCCACCTCTGGGACCTTTCCTTCCTCCTGGTCTGTTCTGCAGGCACCCTCCACCCCTGGCAGCTATCAGCTGTGTGACCTCGGGCAAGTTGTTTAACTTCTCTGTGCTCCTTGCACCTCAGCCAGAGATATAATAGTAGCTACCCTGTTGGGTTGTTGAGAGGATTAAATGAGTTAATGTGGGTACGGCACTGATAATAGTGCCAATCATATAAGTCCATATTCATATTCATAACTAGTAGCTATTCCTTTTTTTTTTTTGGCTTCAAATATGATTCTCCCACCAGTCCTGGAAAAATGTTGCGTATAGGGCGATAGGCTCTTCGCTGGAGAATGGTGGGCAGGCAGCCTGGAGTGTGACAGTAGCATGAGTCCGGAGCCAGAGATGCTCATTCCCAGCCTCTCTATCCTTCCAGAGTTCAGGGCACACCGTCATGTGGGTGGCGTCCCCTCTGGGGCCGGTATGTCAAGCAGGAGGACCCCTTAGGCTGGTGAGATTACAGAAAGGGGGTAGGTGGCGGTTAGGCGGCTGAGGGTAGCCTCTGGGAATGGCTGTCCCCATCACTGCCCCACCGGGGTGGTGGCTGTGGCGGGGGTTCGCCCACTGTCCGAGGAGGCAGCCACTTCGTCTTTGGCCATCCACAGCTTGTGACCAGACACCCGCATGCCCTGGGGAGAGCCTCCCCCTTCGTTCCCTCTGTGGGCCCCCTGCCTGGTGCTCGGGTCAGGAATTGGAGCCAAGATTGAGGTATGAGCTCCAAGAAAAACGTGTCCCAGCTAGAAAAAAGGAACACATTGAGTCTCTGATAAAGGCCCCTGCTAATTGTCAGGGTAGAGGTTTGGCTGCCTGGCTTGGCTGAGGGATGTTATCTTAGGGTAGGGAGCAATGCAGCCCTCCCTCCTCCCTCCTCCTTCTGTCTGGAGGCCCAACTCGCCACCTGCCCCCACCCCCACCCCCCCCATCAGGGAAGAAGATGAGGATGATGATAAAGTAATAGCTCACCCATAGAGGGTGCTTTCGGCTTTCAAGGCCTTCCACGTTTATTAGGGACCCAGTGGCTTTCTTTGGGAGAGCTGGCAGCGGCCCCTCACCAACCTGTTTCCCACATGCTTTGGGAAACTGCCAGCTGTCTGCAGCTCTGACCTTTGGGTGAGATGCCTTGTCATTGGGGAGAACGAAGGAGGTGATGCTTCCTTTTCTCGAGGTCTTAAACACATTTTTAAAAAAATTTTTTAAAACAAATCTTACCATATTGCAGAAAATGTAGAAGAACAGAGCAAAGAAAAAAGAAAGCTCATTTTTGTTACCATTTAACCTCCTGCTATGAAAATTCTGGTGCATTGACCTTTAGTCTTTTCGCGCCGGCCTGTTCTTTGCAGAATTTAAAACTTGTGCTATACGTTTCATTTTTGCCTCCTGCTGCCCCCTCCCCACTGAGCGATATTGCCTAAGCATTTTTCCATGTTGCCACACAGCCTTCCAGGGAACTCGAAAACTAGCGTGCCAGTGTGTGTGAGCCAAGGGAAGGGGTGTCTTAGCATGGAGGTGGTGGCTGTGGAATGATCCCAGGAGGCCCTGGTTTTCTGTGGGGATGAAAGATGCTAACCTTGCTTTTCTCTGTGCCTCCCACAGGTGGCTGCCCCCTGCATTCCTCCATCCAACCATGAATTGGTGGTGAGTGACAGTCCGTTCCCTACCCTGCCAGCCCCTCCTCCCCTCTTCCCTCTGCTCCCAGCTGCAGCTTACTTCAGACCCAAGCATGCTGGTAGCCCCCAAGGGTGCTGGGTAATTGAGTAAGGGGAAGGAGGGGGCCTTGTTCTGAAGCCGAAGCTGGACAGGGAGGAAATGAGTCATGAAGTCCCTTCTGATGGGATGCAGGGCCTCCTATTTCAATCTGGAGAGCCCTTGGAAAAACCCATAAAAGGGCATCTTGCCTGTCTCCAGGCCTGGCCAGGTGCCTGTCATCCTGGGGCTTACAGGACCAGGGGGTGGCACCTCCTCCGCCCGCCTGGTTCTGGGTCAGGTACCCTTCGGCTGGAGTCAGGGGGATGGCTGGCATGACCCACAGAGTTCGTCGACCTGGGCCGTCGTTCATTCAGATGGCCTGTCCAGCTCCAAGCTTTCTGGCTGGCTGTTTTCCTGCTCCCCTCCACGTCCCCCACTCCTCCCTCCCTTCCCCAGTGGGACTTCCAGAAGAGCGTGGGTGGGGCGGGGCTCCTGAGAGTTGTGGGCTGCCGAGAGCAGCCTGCCTCAGACCGATCCCAGCTGGCCTCGGCTGGAATGTTGGGAGCTTTACCCTCCTGCCCCGTCACTGCCTTCCGACCCTTCAGAAGGCCTTCGTGTTCCTCACCCGCTGCTGGAGGCAGGCAGGGCCCTGGCGGCTGGAGGGGAGGGGCTCTGGTCTGCATGCGTGCAGGTGTGCACGCACGTGTGTGCACGTGTGTGGGGGGGGTGCCGTGGGGGGCCCCTGTGATCACAGTTCAACTCACTGGTGTGGAGGGGCAAGTGATGACACTGATGTGGGTGGAAGCCTGGGGGAGGGGCAAAGGCGTCACGGGGCCCAGGCAGGGGCAGGTGTCTGAGCAGGTGCCTGCTCAGTCTGGATATAGAATCTCAGTCAGGCCGCCCCGTCCCCTTTTCTCCAACACCCATTTGCTGTGTGACAATGGTTTGTCCTGCCTTCTGTCTGCACACCAGCTTCCCTTTCTGTCAAAGGGATGCATCGAACTAGAGGCTCGGAAGGTCTTCTCAGTGCTGATAAGTATTCCTTCCATTTAGGGTCACTAATGGAATGAAGTAAACACATGTGAAAGTGCTTGTGACTCTTAGACGCCCCGGACCCAGAGCAGCGCCACCGCTGTGTGCACGTCAGGCCCAGGCCCCGCGGAGCGTTTCCCTTCCTACCAGGGGTCCCTCCTCCCTGGTCTCGCTGGGCTCATACCCTTCTCGGACTCAGCCCTGCCTGGCTGTGCTGCTCCAGATGTGGGGTGTTATTTACACACTGCCCAGCTGAAGATCCTGTGACAACAGCCGGGGGCAGGGGGTGTGGGTCCTGTAGGGATCAGGCCCGAGTGCAGGCCTGGCTTGGAGCTGCCAGTGAGAAATCTCCCCGGGATTTCGGAGGGACACCATGGAGGGCCGGCGGGAGGGGTCATGTGGGGTGAGCGGTTGTCTCATCATTCCCACCCCACCGCCACTTTGCCCCCAAGAACAGAATGTCCTTGGCTGGTCTAGGATGGCTGCAGTTTGGAGGAGGAGGGTCTGGGGCGTAGGGCTCCCCTGTCAGAAGCCAGAAGCCTGGCCTCCGGGAGTCTCACGGGCGTCATTTACGTGAGGAAGGGTCAGGGGTTGGGATGAGAGGGACTGTGTTGGCATTCCAGTAGGCAGGACTGCAGTTAGGACCAGGAGGCGCTTCTGCCTGGGCGAGGTCATGGAATCTTCTCATCTGTGTGATGTGCCTCGCCTGCGCTGGAGGCGCTGACCTTCCCTGAGGCTGGGCGAAGTGGCTGTGATACCAGATTGTGCTCCCACAGGTACCCTCACTTGAGTCTGAACTACCCCGACAACAGTGGTCAAGAGCGGGAGAGTTCAACCACGTCCCCCTGGGTCCCTAGTCCTAGGAATGTGACCTTGGACACACTGCTTAAGCTCTCTGGACCTCAGTTTCCCCTCTGCAGATTGGGGAGTTAGTAATAGTACCTACCTTGTAAGGTTATGAGAATAAAAGGTATAAAGTAACCTGTTTAATTAATGTGTATTCAAAATCCTCCAAAGGCTGCCCACTTACCTTAGAGTACAAGCCCAGGGTTCTTCCTTTAGCTTGCACAGTCCCACAGGACGGATTTTCTCTCACCTCATCTCCTTCAAAAAGCTCTCTCCCTTGCTTACTCTGCTCCAGCCACCTTGCCCTTCTTGCTGGTCTTTGAACATACGAGGCAGCATGCTACCTCAGGGCCTTTGCATGTGCTGTTCCCTCTGCCTGGAATGCTTTTCCTGCGGATACCTTCAGGGCTCTTTCCTTCCACCAGGTCTTACTCCAGTATCAGCATTTTCCTTCCCCAACAATCATATCTCCCTTGTGTGCTTTCTTTGCCCCGCCCCCCGGCATGCATCATCATCTGATAAGCTATGAGTCTTATTTGCTTATCTTATTTAAGAGGCTCCCCCCTTCACACCTGTGTATAAATTTCTTGACAAGGAATTTTTATCTGTTGTGTTCATTGTTGTATCCTCACTGTCTGGCACATAGTAGGTACTCAACACATGTTTACTGCGTGACTGAAGACAGGCATTCAGCCAGAGGCCTGGTGCACATTAGGTACTCAATAAATGAGAATGCTGATGGATAGTGAGGGTCTGCTGGGGGCCTTCCTCCAGCTGGAAGCTCTGTGCTGTCCCCAGGGAATGGGAAAGTGGCCCAGGGAAAACGGGAGAAAGTTTGGCTCCCCCTGAGAGCACTCAGCACCTGTTTCCTCACAGCAGGCGAGGCAAGTGCTTTGAGCAGGTTCACAAGAGGGAGGAAAGGGCGGGCTGTATTTTTCCTTCCTTTTCCATTCCCTGCCTGCCCTTCAGCCTTGGCAGGGCTGGACTGAGGCCTCCCTGCCCCCTTCCTCTTGCCTCACACTGTCTGTCTTGTGTGTCTGTCTGTCTGTCTGTCATATTTTCTCTATGTCCCCAGCTCACCCATCTTGCTTAAATCCTTAAACCCACCCCCACAACCCTCAAGATCAGGACCATTGTCCCTGGGCACAGAATTTCGGGCCAACCTCTGGGTCCTGCCAGCCAAACACATTTTCCAGCCTGTGCCAGTCCAGCCGGGGCAAAGTGGCTTAATCTTCAACCAGTGTTTTCATCTCTTACTCAACAGATGTTGCCTAAGGCCTTGAGTAGAAGGGTCCTAGGGTCATCTCCCTCCTGTGGGGTCCCCGAGTGCGGGCAGGATGGAGAGGGGAGAGGCCTTGTTTGCCACGGACACTCCTGATCCTTGGAAACAGCTGAAGCAGCTTTTCTCAACTTCTGAAAAGAATCAAAAGGAATTTCCTGAAGGTGATAGCCAAATGGAGTGGCCACCGAGGTTGGCTGGACGTTGTGCCCTTCTGCACATGCAGCCTGGCACCCAGGGCGTCTGGGCTGGGGGAGATGGGCCGCCCCACGGAGGGTGCTTGGAATGTCCTTGCGAATCGGACGTCAGGGTGGGGTGTCTGTGGGAAGAGGAGGCGAACGGGGAGTGGGAATGCCAGGTTGGTTTCCCTTCGAGTCGGAATCAGAGCAATAAGGAAAAGTTAATCCTTGTATGGAACTTTCTTTTTGCCCACCTTTGATCAGAAAGTTTTACAAAAATAAACGCATTCATTCTTCACAACAAGGCGATGAGGGAAGTGCTGTGATTATCCAGCATCTCAGAGGAGGGCCTGAGGCCTAGGGCCACGGAGACGTTCAGGGGGAACCTGGGATTTCCACTCAGCTGTCTGGCACCTCAGAGTCCACCCTCGTAGCCACTGATAATGACAAATGTCACTCTCACTTGTATATCACCTGTGGGCTTCAGAGTCCCTCCCCTGACACTGGGGCCGTCAGAGCCCATGGTGACTCGTGCAGAAGTCGGGCAGGTGTGAGCCGGTCCCGGGCCGGCGGGAGGAGCACCTTGTGCAGAGCAGCAAAGGGGCTCAGAAAGGCTCGGTGACTGGTTCACCGTCCCACAGAGTGGGGTTTGGGATTCCTGGTTCCACTTTCTCCCCAGGTGCCCTCGGTGCTTGTGCTGATGTCAGTACCTGATGACGCGGGTGGACTTCCGGATTTCTTCCTCTAAACGGCACCAGCCGTGAGCTCACCTGCCTGGCTTCTCTGTTTGCCAGCGGGCCTGGGATTTAGGGGAGGGTCTCTCCATCCATCTGTCTGTCAGCCGTTCTACCGACAAACGTTTCCTGAGGGCCCTCCTGGTGCCAGGCGCCATTTTCATGCTGGAGCTGCGGGGCTCTTTGCTCCGGGGCCCGGCCTCCTAAGAGGCAGGCGGGCATGGGTCAGGCTTGGAGTTTCATACGTGGGAGGACCTTAGGTGCTATCCAGTCAAGTCCTCTTTTAAAGACGAGGAAACGGAGGTCCTGAGATTAAAAAAGAAACACAACAAAACCAAACAAAACTAATTATATTTTTATTGTGGTAAACTACGCATAACATAAAATTTACTGTCTGAAACATTTTTGAGTGCAGTCAGAGGTGTTGAGTACATTCCTGTCATTGTGCAGCCACCACCGCCATCCACCTCCAGAACCCTTTTCATCTTGTGAAAGGAAAACCCTGCACCTCTTAACCAAAAACGGCCTCTTCCCCGCCCCCTGACAACCGCCATTCTGGCTCTCAGCCCCTCGTATAAGTTAAAATCGTACATTTGTTCCCTTGCAACTGGCTTATTTCACGTAGCATTCCTCCATGTTGTGGCATGTGTCAGGATTTCCTTCTTTTTTTTTAGGTTGAATTATATTCCATTGTGTGTATATACCACTTTTTGCTTATTCATTCATCTGTCAGTGGACATGGGTTATTTCCACATTTTAGCTATTGTGCGTAATACTGCTGTGAACGTAAGTGTGTCAATATCTCTTTGAGTCTCTACTTTCAGTTCTTTTGGGGTACACCCACAAGTGGAGTTCTGGATTATATGGTAATTCTATTTT